ATAGGCATTTCAAATAAATAATATTGTTTTTAAAACGATATTTATAATAATTTATAATATAATTAAAATTATATATATTTTAAATAAAAAAAATATACAAAAATCATTTTTATATTTCTATATATATTATAAGCAAATCAAAAACAATTTAATAAATGTTATTCCAAATAACATTGCGATATTATTAAATAAAAATTAATAACTTTTTATTTATAAAAATTATTAAAAATAACTCATCCAAAGCCTTTGGTTTGTCAAAAAAGAAAATGTTCCAAAAGTCATTCTTGAAAATTATGAAACTTATCGAGAGGAGTGCTTACTTCAACTTACGTTAGTCTTTTCTCACATTCCTTCTCAAAAGGAATTTAATTCGTATGAATTGATATGTAAAAAGACTCTTTTAGTCTTTGAAAACATATTTAATTCAATAAGAAATACTTCCACAGAGCTGTTATTTGTCAAATGTTTAATTGGTGTTGCTGAATGTGTGTATCTTTCCAAAGATATAACTGTTATTAAAGATACTTTCCATTTATTTAATACAATTTGGATCACTTTTGCAGCCCAAAACGATTCAAAGGACTTGTGGAGTATTCTTAAAAACTGTTATTCTCGTTGGATTAATGATTTTGAAATTAGTTCAATTTGGATTGAGACAATGCAAACACTTCAAACTTCCTTTTTATCATCTTTGTCGTTTAAAGGAGAAGAAAGTGTTATTAATTTGAATAATAACAACACGACATTTTCAGTCAAATTTACTTCAGAAACACTTCTTTATTTTTATCTCAAATTTCTTCGTTTGTTTTTATAATTGTTTAGTTACTATTTTTATTGTAAGACATTGTAAATTCAATTTGAAATATCAACATATTCTTTTTAGATTTAAAAAATGAATAAAACATTCAAATTTGTATGATTATATTCATTTTTTAAATCAAAAAGGAATATCTATATAATCATTTAAATCAATTAATACTTTTCGGGCCAGTAACAACAATTTTTAGTTTATTATTGAAAATAATAATAATTTATTATTTATATCTCATATTTTATTTATTAATATAAAACTAACTATTATTTTATAATAATTAATATTTTATAATAAATAATAAACTAATTATTTATTATTTATATCTAAAAATAT